GGGGGGGGGGGGGGGGGGGAGACGCAGAGGCTGCTGTTGCGCCGTAGCTGCGCGAAGGGGCGGTGTGGTCTCCACACCAAACACAGAAACCAACCCAACCGCGTGTACAAATGCGGGTGTCCTTCGCAGACTCATGACCCAGCCGGAAAACCACAAGCCGCACTCGTGAAGATGCGGCTGGTAGCACGACTCATGTAAGACAACCGTTCCCACTTTGTCATTACTGTCTGTTGCGGCAGAAAGCGACACCAGCCCTGACACACTAAGCCACTCAAATCAAACCGTTCGTCCAGTCAGCGCTGGACTGGTCAACGGGTTCAGTTTCGGTTGTTAAAAAAGTACTTCGATGTCGTGGATTCGAATCTCAGGCTGAACACGTTCGAAGTGGGCCTTTCTTCCTTTTGAGACCCTGGATACTCTTTTGGATAGAGCATGCGTGAAGGCGGTTCTCCTAAACATCACACGACCGTTTCTTCGGAAACAATGCACGGGTAGCGGCAGTTGCTCAACATCGAACACAAGTCATCATCACAGCTCCGGTTGTACGACAACACCGCGCACCTGGTCCAACCTGAGCATGAAAATGCTGTGGCTTCTGCTGGAGACGTTGTTCATCAGCGTCGCAGCGGTCGCCCGGTGCTCGGCCCCCTTCTTGAGCACGCCCACCGCCTCTTCCAGGCTCGTAACCCGCACCTCCTTAGCGCCGGCGGCCTCCACCCCGCGACCGGAAGGGTGCTCTTTCACCTGGGGAGGAACGAAAAACCAAACAAATGTAGAGTCCGCCAGGTTAGATTCTTGCCACCACGAAAGTCAGTTGGGACCGTTGGGACCAGTACTACTATTAGCAGGTACTGAGACAAGACCGGAACGTTTTTTTCAATGTCAAAACAACAACAACAACAGAAAAAGCAACAACAACAACAACAACAACAACAACGGGGACCTCCACTTTTCTTGCTCTAACACCCTACAAATGTTTTGGCTCGGAAACACACGTGTGACTGCCTCAAAAAGTTGTTTGTTCATGAGGCCAACAAGAAGGGCGAATGCCCATGCGACCCGGCGTAATGAGANGGGGGGGGGGGGGGGGGGGGGGGGGGGGGGGGGGGGGGGGGGTACGTACTTTGGTGGCCGCGGTCTGTTCATCCCGGCACGCTCCTCACCACCGACGGGTTGGTGCTGAAGACCACAGCACCAGCGGAGGCACAAGCAAAACCATACGCCTTGGGTTTTCGAAAAAAGAAATATTGAAACATTCCAACACACACGCGAGGGAGACACGGCTCCCTGACATACGACAACAAACCGTATCGCAACGTAGCCAAAAAAACAAGCGACAGAGAAAAAACGTGTCGCGTCGCCAAACAACCCATCAAATAACAAAAAGAGAGAAACCACCCCCGAAGAAGACGACGACCTACATACCTGCAAGTTATCATTAGCTGGGTTGAGGAGGTCACGGATCTTCTCGTTGTAGATCTCTACATACGTGGCCGTCAGCGCGAACTCCCACCCCTGCGCTCTCCGCGCTTCCGCATCCGCCAGCAGGGTGGACACGGCTCTCGGGATTACTCCCACCTCGGGCCCCAAGCAGCAGCTGCCGCTGCCGCTGCCGCTGCCGCTGCCGCTGCCGCTGCCGCTGCTCGCGGTTTCGGGGGACACGGCCCCAGCGGCGTGGGAGGACGGCATGATCCCGATCGGGTGCAGCCTCCTTCCGGGCCCATCGGGTAGAGGCGGCGGTAGCGGCGGCGGCGGAGGCGGTGGCATCAGGAGGGTCGCGGGAGACATCGAAGATGAGTCCGGCGGCGGGGGCGACGCCGGCACCGGCGCCAAGTTTGTCGGCGTCGCTTCGGGCGCCCCGGCGAAAGGCGACGGCGGCGAGGGCGCCGGCAGTGGCAAGACGCCGGCGGAGCCGGGGTGACAAGGAGACGGGGCTGTTGCCCCAGCGCCCCCCCCCGATGGCGTCGTCACACCGGCGGCGGCGGGGGTGGCGGCGGCTGGGGCGGCGGACAGCGTAGCCGTCGCGCCTCCCATGGTGTAGGTCTTGCCGGCGCCCGTCTGGCCGTAGGCGAATATGGTGCCGTTGAAGCCCTGGGAGACCCCGTGGGCCACGCGCTTCACGTCGCTGTACACCTGTTGTCGGGTCAAGATGGGACAGAGAGAAAAAACGGAGGGGAGGGGTATGATCATATTTTGCAGTGGGGGGAAGGGGACAGAGGATTCATGATCCGACGACATGGCGTGGCGACTGACGACGGAGAACCGCGAGACGTAACGGTGCTACTGTAGCAGTGCGTGAAAGTGAGATAGTGACGACGAGCTAGCTTCCCGTGCGTACGGGCGGAAGCAACTTCCCTCGCCGTACTTTTCCCCTCTGGCTACACCTACGCCGCCGCCAGCGACACACGAAGAGTATCGCAAAAACCAGTCGGGACTTTCGATCGAACTTCATTTCTCAAGCAAAGTGCTGGTGGTGGAGAGCCAGACACATGCCAAACACACGCCAAGACGAACGCACAGGAAATACTTTTGCAGAATGTGAATTTCCGACATCTTCGGGAGTCACATGTTGGATGTCATGAATTCGATGTACTTGACGCGCAAGGCTCTCTGCTTGCTCAGGCGTCGTACTCCCTCTAGTAGTCAAGAAACTTGAGTCACCCCTGCTGCGCGGAAACGCTCTCGACAATAGCCCACGAGCGTGACAACCAAGTACCCACGCCGACACCCCAAATGGGAAACTCTTTTGCCGTGGATGGGTGTTGTTAGCGGCGCAGCCGGGTGGTCGTGTTGTTTAGTGCTTTTTCGGCCCGTTCAATCGGCAACGGGCGAGGTAAATAAAGATGTACTAGTGTGTAGCAGCTCCGGAGAGAGGCGGCCTCCGATTGGGCAGACCTCTCGTTTACGAAACCATATCCTCATATCCCACCAAACGTTATCGCTTCCAACCCCAGCCTGCCTTTTCCAAACACAACTACATCGGCGTGGCCGCCTACCCTCGTGGGTTTCTTGGTTCACCTGGGCTTGATCGACGCCGGGCTTTAGAACCCTGTCGAAGCCCCTCGTGCTCCACGCGCCCCCCATGCGCACCGAGACCGTGTCCAGCGGCGCTCCCTCCCCGCCCTCGTGGCCTCCGCCGCCGCCTCCATCCCCCCCCCCGCCCCCGAAGACCAACCACTTGCCGCGCGGTGATCCCCGTTCCTCCCCGTCCCTCTCCACCGTGCGCCGAAATCTGCACAGCACCCGAACTCGGTCGTCTTGATTACTAGTGCTGCCGCTGCTGCGGCTGTTGGTGTTGGTGCTGGCCACCTCCACGCTGTCGTTGCTCTTCGCCTCGGCCTTGGGTGCGTCGGCGGCGGCGGGAGCGCTTGTCGGATCTCCCTCGTGGGGAATGTCACCGGCGGGAGAGGCGGTGGCGGCGGTAGCAGCGCGCGGAGTTGTCGAGGGGCTCGGGCCCGGCGGAGGAACAAGCGGAGGCTGCTGCAGGAGCGGCGACGGCGACGACACGTTGCTGCTGCTGCCGCCGCCGCCGCCGCCGCTGCTGCTGCTGTCGGTCACCGCAACAGTGGAGGCTACAACGTCAACCATTCTCTCGACGCCACCATTGGAAGACGACGACGACGACCCACCGCTGATCGTCATGTCCGTTTCCGCCCCGCCGACATCGGCAGGTTGGGATCTGGGACAAGGGGTGCTGTGTGGGGGGTTGCCACCGGACCCAGCAGCAGGGGGGGCGCTTCCTGCGGCGTCGGCGCCAACAACATCTCCAGCGGTTCCCGACAACGGCAGTGTCGCAAGCAGCTGCTGAGGAAACGTGTGTTTCGCCTGGTATTGTGCGTACGTGGGTGTGGGAGGCGGGCCGTGGCGCGAGGAGCCTTCATCCTCGCTGTTGCTGCTGCTATTGCTGCTGATGGCCGCAGCCCGGCTTCCCGCCGCTTCATTAGATTTGGCGGCAGCGGAGCTTTTACTGCTGGTCTGAAGATCCTCGGGGGTATGTGCCGGCGCTCGCTCCTGCTCCAACAGGTGAGGCTCTGAAGATGTTTGTCTCTCCATGCTCATTCGGGGAGAGCGTGTCGTACGATGCATTACAAGTTAGGCCTGTGCAGTAGACAGAGACATGTGTAGATGTGTGGCCTTTCGCCGGGTGCCCCGCACATTCGATTTGTTGCAAACATACCCCGTTGTAAATTTGAATTTTGAATGGAATCCCATCCGCAAATCCCTCCCCCTCCCCCCCCTTCAATATGCACACGCTAGGTGAGCACACCACCCTCTGGTGAAATCATTCGCCATCGTCTTGGCCTGCTTACAGGAGATTGTAGCGAGGGCTTCTGATAGTGTTGTTGGTTCACGTTTCTCCGCACCTTCCTCTCCTTATATATCGGTCCCTTACAAGTATGATATCGACAGATGATTACCGTATATGACACAAGATAACACACCTCCTGGACCGATTTTCAAAGCTCGATTACTCCACGACGAAGGGGATGCATAAACGAAATGATACGTTTTCGAAAATCTCTCGACGAGACGGTTTCAACGCCGCCATTTTCGGAGCTGTGGCTGTTTCTGCAGTTGAGAAATCGAGCTTTGAAAATTGGTCAAGGGGGTGTGTTATCTTGTGTCATATACGGTAGGAGGCTCCGGTGCTCCAGTGCTAGCACCACCACGACACTGACTACTGTACGACTGTACGATTGTCAATGTATCGATGTTATGAAGAAAGTAGACTCTTTGTTGCGCGTAGGGTGCAACCTGGAATACGAACGTCCGAAACTTGCATACTTGAACAAAAATGTGATCGCGATCCATAACTTACGAGGTCAACTGAACTAATTGATCGCAATCCATTACTTACACGCTTGGACCGAATGAAATCTGCTGTTGTGATCGAAACCCATAGTCTATGGTGGTTGAATCTCCGGCGGGCATCATGCGAGGTACACGGAAACCGACAGCTGGCCTACATGAGATGCACCGCGAACATTCGCTGGATGCCGTTGCGACGTTCGATCGAGCCCCCCACACCTTTCGCCAAGACCGTCACCGATGAGAGCCAGCTAGCTGCGGCAGCGTTTTTTTTTCCTCTTCGAAGGCGAGGGGCACCCTACAGCGACGATTCGAACGACCAGTAGATACAACAAGCAGCAGAAATCGAATCTGATGATGCAGCCGCTACCGCTGCCGCTGCAGCCGCCCGGCAATCGCTGAGTTTCAATCTCACAACAAGCAGTGTCTGGCAGTAAACGACCGTTCTTCCACGACCAGTTTGAAGCGTCTCGGGCGTTCGGCTCAAGAAGGTTCGTGTTTAGGCCTTCGGACTGCAGTGACCATTCATTCATTCATCCATTCATTCATTCATACTTTTTTTACTGTTCTGTGAGACCTCTAGAAACCGCATCGGCCTCTTAGGGGAAAACGTGGATGATGTGCCCGATTTCTTGTTAGCCTTTCACCTGATTCATAGCATTTTGGTTGTGGAGAACTTCAAAACGCCAACAGTTTACAGCAATAAAAAATCAGCAACCCGACACCTCCCGGCCAAGTGCCCGACTCTCTCTCCCCTCTACGGTACATACTATCACGATATATTTAGCTTCACAAAAAAACACAGCGTGCGTCAGACGCACACCCCAACATCAGGATACAACTGATCCTTCGTCCTTCCCCATCGACGGATGCAACCCGACATCTCCCGGCCAAGTGCCCGACTCTCTCTCCCCTCTACGGTACGTACCATCACGATTTATTTAGCTTCACAAAAAAACACCGCGTGCGTCAGACGCACACCCCAACATCAAGATACAACTGATCCTTCGTCCTTTCCCATCGACGGATGGGATCGTCCGCCGACAAGCGAAGTAGCTCGAAAAAGCAGGTTTTCTCGCGAGGCAAAGTTAGGGCCTGCCTTTAACAACAGCACTCGGATCTCTCGCTGCACTCGCAGGATTCTCAGGGTCTTGGTCAAAGCCATGTCTATCTGTCTGCGTGCGAGACAGCACCAGCGTGCCCGCCTACTCCCCCGGCTTGAAAAATGGCCTGTAAACCTCGGGCAAAAACTCGCTTTCCCCGCCGTTTGCGACGGACACAACGTCGAAGCCCAGCGCCGCCACCCCCCGGAGGCCTCCTTTCCCCAACTCCTCTAGGTCCAACAGATCTGCCGGCTCGGACGCATCGCTTAGAAACACGCGCACCCGCCCCCCGTCGCGGGCTGCTGCAACCGTCGACGATCCCCCGGGACCAATACCGGGGACGGCGACCTGATTTTCCCGGGCCAGGGCAACAACAACAACAACAACAACAACAACATTGGTTCAAACCGGAGTGAAGAGTTTTCGTTTCGGCACACCACACGCAATCAAGTTGCGTCGAAATGTTTGGAGATGTGTGTGTGTTTCCTTCACAAGTTAAGTAAGGTTTGTGTTGTTGAGTGAGCTGCATGCTGGATGCCGGATGGATGGCAACGAAGAGCAAGCAATAGAGCCGGACGAAGTGCGAGGGATTCGTATGTCTCCTAGTGGTGGTGGTGGCCCGTCAGCGAAGAAAATTGCTGTGCTGTCCTGACGTGTGGCGCCACGGAAGGCAAGGGGAAATCGACGTGGAAACGGCGCGACAAATCAGCAGGAGCGGAATGAATGGTGGCAGGTCGGAGGTAACGGGCACACATTCGACTTCGCCAAGACACGATGAACATCCCATGCAGCCAGAAAAATTCCGAAACATGCTGCCGGGTAAGGTACCACAAGAGCTCCATGCACTGCCGCCGCTACGCTTCAAAGCGTTGTTACGCCAAAACTGACGTTCAGCGAATGGTTATTCTTGTGATATATTTTGGGCGAAAGGGTTCCAGTGTCGGCGGAGATCTACTTTGTTAACTTTCTGAAAAGTTGTCGTAGAGATCAACCATTATACTTAGGGACGACGATATCGTCCATTCTTGTCAAATCGTTCGAGGGCGCTTGACGCGCCCGGTCAACGGCCTGCCCGTCCGTCTGCAGCACTGTCAGACTGCTGCTTCAGCTTTCGTACTCGCCTCTGCCACCAGAAAGTGGAAGCCGCTTCCGATGTCCAGCTCCTCTGGTGGGTCCGCCAGAACGCTCACGATGTCTGTGAGCGGAATATTACCCCAAGCACGCGAACGAAAAAGGCACACCATCGCAATCGTGCTAAGAAAATGTAAGTGTTCAGTACAAGGCAACCCTGATCACAGCCGTGCGTTTTTAGATGGAGGTGAACCTACAGCATTAGGGCGGGGAAAAGCAACACCGTGTCGCGTTGCCCCAAAGAGGATACACGTCAAGAAAAGAAGGCGAGCCTCGAGCAAACAGCCGCTGGGTGTTAACGTCGCACCGGTAAACGCGTCCGTGACAGGCAGCTTCTCGGCGATAGCCCCCCACATGCTGTCCGTCTCGCTTCCTTCCACCTTCTCCTCGGCGTATGCCGAGAGGAACATGCTGCCCGCCGCCGCGCGCTCGACCGGCTCCCACGTGTGCGCGACGGGGACGCTGTTCAAGCCCCGATTTCGCCACTTCTGGCCTCCCTTAGACACGACTAGATCCACCATTGGCATCACGTACCTTTGTTGTTGTTTAGGGGAAGAGAAAACGGCTGAAGACAACGAGTGGGTGTCGGTGCGCGTGCTATCCGTGGGGGTGGGTGCACTCGACGGTTTCAGGGCCGTGCGTGTCGGCATGGTGCCGCAGTGATGACATAGCGGTGTCGCAGGGCACCTCTTTCGGGACAAAATAAACACAGAACGGGCTGTCGACCAGTCGGAGCGCTGGCTGGTTTTGATAGATCATTGGCAAGCAAGGTTGCTGGTGACTGTTCACGATGTTGTACGACCACAGGAAACATGCACGTGCCTACTCTGAGTCGTTCCCTTGGGGAAGGGAAGGCATCACAGAACCAATTATCGGCATCTTCACGAATGCCGAGAGAGTGTAAACCGCGCCATGACGAGGACGTGTACAAAGAAACTCTGCGGTATTGTTTAAAAAGAAACTCCGCGGCATCTTTTTCAAAGCAACGTTGTTCGTAGACATATGTACAAGGATTGACATTGCTTTTCGCCCCGCCGAAACCCACCTGGGAACACCGTCCTTCATCAGCATGCCCAGGCACAGCTTCATGGCGGGCGCCGGGCTACCCTCGGGAACCCACAGCTCACCGTAGCTACGAGAGCGAAGGCGGACGAGGGTGAGAGCATCGACGTGCGCGTGTTACGCAGGTACAGGGCTGAGGGTGAAAAAATCCTTGATTGGGGCAGTGCTGTTCGAGCAGCTGGCGGAACAAGAATGACCCGGGAAAGACGAAGGCGTACCGGAGCACGCGTCCTCAAAATCGGCTGTAGTGATGTACATACCTTCGGGTACGAGGACTTTTACAAGGGAGACAACACGACAAGCACGACAAGCGCTAATAAACGAGCGCTGGTTCGAATACTACAGAAGACCTTCACTGGCCAAAAGTCAGGGGAAATGCAGGGGGTCGTCGTGTGAGCCTCGTTTCTTTGTTGACAATAGGCTAGACTGTGGGGCCGTTTGCTACCAGCCCATCATGCACGCACACAGACACACACACCTTCGTGGATTAACCCAGCCAAGCTCTGCGTTTGGTCCCGGAACTTGGGTAACGTGCTTTCTTCCGGCGTCGTCAGCCTGCTCATCGCCGTCAATGAACCACAGAGGGAAGCTCGAGGCCGACGCCACCGGCAGCCTTTGCTCGGTCCCATCGTCCTACTCGCGGTACAGCAGTAGTAGCAATCGCGCGAAGAGAGATTGGTTCGAGGTGCTCTCACTACCTTCCACAAGTAGATTGCACTAGCACGCCGATGAGTCCATGTCGGGAGTGAATGTAGAACTTTCGTAGACGTGTATGTGCACGTACGCGCAGCAGAAGGTCATGAGGTCGCCTCCAATGGGCTACAATATAGTCTAAACAGTTTGTTGCATCAACCTCGGCAACGGACATCGTCCGCAGCAGTAGCTGTCAACCTACTGCTGTTTGTGTATTCCAGGCTACCCTGACTACCCGTTGCCACCGACACCCCTCTTTGGCTAAGACAAAGGCCTACCGACAAGATGGAGATGAACTGTCTCTCGACAAGCCGCTCTCGTTCAATCGCGGGTTGACCCTTAGCCTGCCTGCGGGAACATACGCGACACGTCCTTTCGGCGCCGCCGCTTCTTCTGCTGTGGACGATCTTGGGGCGCACAATGAAGCCATGAGCGGTTGATAACACCGTGAATGTGCCCAACAGCGCTACGGGCGCCTTCATCGTGTCGGAGTTACACTACAGTTGCGCACTTGCTGCAGGCGAGGCAGTTGTGTGTGGGGGATGTGCTGGGAGGATGACATGATGGTCAGAGGGATGCGGCTGACGACTGGTACAGGGGGGCGTTGAGGCATCCTGCTGCGGGGCCGCCGGCGTGTCGCCGCAACGGCAGTTCCCTGTTGCTCACCACACCAAACCACCACGCAGATGCACGAATGAGATCATCCAGCTTGTCTTACGTGGTACGAGCACTCGCGATAACGCAGGCTCCCTCGTCCAGCTTCCTCCGGCCGTTGGCGGTGCACAGCAGGTACTTTGTTTTTGGGCACGGGACTGTCAGTTTGCTCCGAGTCGGAGTCGCAGGCGAAACCAAAATTTTCAGTAACTCCACGCTGCACCTCTTCGTTTTGTACGCTCCCTGAAGCATTAACTACGCGCCAAGAAGCGCTTCTCACGTCTGGTGGTAGGAGGCACTACACGCGGCAAAATCTCACTCTACGCTGGCAGAAACTCGAACTCACGATCTGGTCCTCCCCAGCTGCAAGCAGAGACGCACAACCGTACCTATTGCTTTCCACCCGGTGGTCATTCTGGAGACCCCGTTCAGCCTTCCTAGGAAGATGGGAATATCCTGACGCACTTGCGATAACAAAAGCAGTGGCAGGCAACACAGGTTTGCTCAGCCGTGCTTCTTTTCGACATCGTCTACATGCCCAAACCGCATTTTGTCACGTTCAAGACAATCTGGACGGTCCCTTGTATGCAAAAGTGGGCTCGCCAACGACAGAGCCGCAGACGCGGCTACGCTGATGAACGCTTCACGAGGACACAGCCTACAGGGGGCTCCGAACGGCTATGTACACGACACATCTTTCGGCGCTGCTCTCAACAAGTTTTGATGAAAACTTTTCTGTACCCAACCCGCTGCGCTTGACTGCCCTTTGATGGATCCTCTCGCTTTGCCCATGCATACATACGTAGGTCTCAACTCTACAACGGCAGAGGCCTGGCAACGGCCACGTCATCCATGGCGTCTTCTCAGCCGCCCCCCTCCTCCTTCGGCATCAGCCTCCTCACAGCGGAAGACTCAGCGGCGCTCGATGCAGACCTTATGTCCACTCCTGGGTTCAGCATCGACCAGGTATACCCCTAATCTCCGTAGCGCTGGTGTGTACATAATCGAACGCGACACTTCTGGACACAGGCTACGGTAGAAAAATATGCTGCTGATTATTTCCTGCGGCAGAGGACAACCACTCTGTCTGGCGGGTCGCCCGGGTTAAGACCCGTCAGATTTTTGTTGCGTTCATGGTTCGCGATGCGGCGGAAGGCTTCCCACTCGGCGCCCCGCCCCGCAAGCTCGCGCTGGCACCCGGCTTCAGCCTCCGTCGTGAGAGGTTCTTCAGCGTGCCGCGTTGCCGTGAGTTGTATAAGCCGGATGCGTGTATCCTGGCGGCTAGTCTTCTTCTGTGATGCTCCACCACGACGATTCGCCCTTGACGTCCGTTGTCCCCTCCCCGCCTCATGCCCTCCCCCTGCGTTCCCCCAAAACGCACGAGGAAGCTGATGGAGCTGGCGGGGCTGAGCGTCGCGTGCGCCATCGCCAAAGTATACCCGCCGTCATCCAGGGTTCTCATCGTTTGCGGCCCTGGGAACAACGGAGGTGAGTGGCGAACGAGCACCCGTGCCGATGAGGTCGTGCCTCGCCTCGGGCAACAACACCACCGCTGTGCTTTCCTCCGACCATCCTCGCGTCCCCACCCCACCCTACCCACTCACTTGGCCGTCTCTGGCGATGCGGATCGCCGGCGCTTCGCGCGCTCGAGACCGGCGGCTTTTGGGAAAGGGCCCGAGGCACTACGAACATGTTACGAGGCATTACATTGAGCACACACACACAACCCGCGCAGCGCGCCAGTTTTGTCCCAACCCCCTCGCCATCGTCCCCACCACCCCCCTTCTTTGAGCCTCTCCCATACGTGCACATTCCGACACGCCAATACGTATCCCCCTGTTCTCCTTCTTTCATGGGTGGCTGGCCCCTGCTGCAGGCGACGGCCTAGTCGCCGCCAGGCACCTCTGGCACTTCGGCTACAAGCCTACGTGCCTCTACCCCAAGCCCACGGCGCGCCAGCTGTTCACCAACCTCGTCGAGCAATGCAAGCAGCTGGACATCGAGTTCCTACCGTCTTGGGAGGCGGCTGGAGACCTAGGTGTGGGTGTGCACGGCAGGGGGGGCGTACTCTCATTTTTTTCATGCCTTAGCGGCTAGACCATTAACCACGCGTCCTCGAGAGGACGGAGCCTTGTTCCCACANCGCTGCAAGGGTATGTTGACCGTGCGTTCCTTGCCCTTGGGGCCGGTGAGCTTCACGTCTCGAGAGCCGTAGATGAACGCCGGCTTCAGGATCACGCCCTGCATGAGTGCGATGTTTGCGGTCATGATGTGAGCGAAACAGAGAGCAGGCGCGTTGTTGAAGCAACCGGAGGACGGGGTGGGCAGGGGGGGGGGGGGGGGGGGGAAGGGGTATCTCTGTTTCGGGGTGATGTTGTGGCGCTGGTATCCTGGTACTGTTCGGTGGCCAGGCGTATGTAATTCCTCTCTTCAGTCTCGTTTCGTGACTACTTTATCGCGATGGCCGGCGACCGGCATACATACATGCATGTCCTCAGGTGATTTCGACGTGGTTCTTGATGCCATGTTCGGCTTCGGCTTCAAGGGCGATCCGCGACCGCCTTTCGATACCATCCTCAAGGACCTCTCGAAGAGCGGCGCAACTCCCGTCGTTTCGGTTGACGTGCCAAGCGGGTGGTCGGTGAGCGCGAGTTCTTCGGCGTGAACGCTTTTTAGTATAGAGGGAGAGATCGCACGACCCATCCAAGAGCGGGTGCTGTGTATGTGCGTCAAATGTAACTCTCTCTCCGCGTTACACGATGCCGAGCTCCTCTCTATCATCTTTTCGGACGTCGGGATTGTTTGATATACGGTACTAGTTGCACCCAAAATTTCGTTGATTTCTCGAAGGAGGACTGTTGCGCGATTCCTACCTTCCCTTGCCATCAGTCAGCCACTTTTTCGCCCTCCTTTTTCTTTCCAACGACAACTAAGAACGCCGCTGTTGTTGCGGCGACAGGTGGACGAGGGCGACTCAAAAGGCGACGGCCTCAAGCCCGAAATGCTCGTATCTCTCACGGCCCCAAAACTGAGCGCGAGGTGAACGCAATCTTCCGCTCGAAGTTATCGAAGAGATTCCGATCCGGTCCTCTTGTGAGCGCTGTGAACAAGTAGCTTTTCCGAGCCTGATTACCCCCCTCCGTCTCAATGTATTTCGCTGGGCATCACTCCAGGAAACACAAATAGCCGAAATTGACAGAACTCATATATTTCGGAACATGAAGGTGTGGTTCTGGGTGCTACGAGGCAGGAAGCCTCTGTCAACACACACCGGGTATTCCGTAGCCACCGCATCCTCAAGTTACCCGCGTATGCATAGGGTACGTTTGTTATCTGTTGCAACGTTCACACAAATTCTCCCTCAAAGCCTTCTGCGTTTTTCTACAATCCCTTTCTCAAGCCCTACAATATCCGGCAACTATGAACAACCTACGTTCGTTTTTATGAACGAAGTTATTGAGTTCAGCGTAACACGCGTTCGTATTGTTGTTGTTGTTTGAAGGTATTTCGAGGGCCCCCACCACTTCCTCGGCGGCAGGTTCGTCCCCCCATGGATCGCGAGCAAGTATTCCCTCGAGCTTCCCGCTTACCCGGGCTCGGAGCAGTGTGTCCGACTCGAGGAGTGGGGGCAAAAGCGCCGCACAAAACCACAGGAGCAGTGCGACGGATGAAGGTGTGAGTGGTTGGATAGCGCACGTGACAGAGATTGACTCACAAATTTTCGTTCGAAAACGGTCGGTGACGGTACTGAGAAGCGGGAGGGTTACAAGAGCTGCACGTCCTCGAAATGAGTCAATCTGAACGAAAGATGTTGTCTTCTCCGAGTTGTCTTCACCCATGTTCAGAAAATGTTCCGATCTTCTGTTCAGTTGCTGGAGACGAAAGTTGATGACACGGCGAGTGGGGAGCGGAACATGGACCCAATGTTGATGTTGCTACTGATGTTGGGGGGTCAGACCTCAAGCACTACTGTATCTGTGAGACGTCGACGGGTGTGTTCTTCTGGTCGTCCATCCATGCGCGTGCTTGCGACAGGTGGTTAGTGTGGCCGACAACACCTCATTCGCGTGCGGAACGTAGATCAGGTCGGAGCAGCGACGTGCAGATGCCACTTCAAAGTAGTTCGTGAGGAAACATGTCGACTAGCGCTGATCTGAGGGCGGGCAGCACTGGGAGCCACAGAGGATGGAGAGCAGCGGCAGGATATCGCCCTGGAGTGGACGGAGAGAAAGTTCGACAAACGAGCTGGGAGAACAGCGCTGATTGGTTTTGTTGTACAAAGCGTTTATGTTGGTTTTCGGTAGATAGAAAGAAGCGTGTAGAAGAATGAATGGATGAATGAATGCAGTCATAGGGACAGGGAGTGTAGTCTCACAACATATGCCTACACAGGGTTGAAAGCGGCAACAACCTCGTGCGACAAGATGTACCGAAAGGATCGATACGATATGCTGATGAATGAATCCCATCGTTACGGACGACGAAACCTGGAACATGCAGAAAACCAATGGCAGTGTCAGTTTCGGGCGAGCAAGCCAAACCCTCCGGCACATTCCGGTAAAGCCCCATTTGCGATATCGGGTGTGCGCCAAATTCCCTCTTAACGCTCGTCGGGGGTGAGAAACGGCTGTGAATCCTTCCTAATCGAGAAAAAAATTACGGCAAGCATCGCACAAGGAAGGCGAAGAAAAACCTCGCGTATGGCCTTTCTCCTGTGTGATCCCGACTGGTGCGCCCAGAAATTGTGCGGAAAGGTTTGAAGAACCGACGTCTATCACAGTGAGACCACAAAAAAATCAATACAGACGGAAGTAGATGTTTGCTTCCTAACCCTTGAACCGACGGCTTCAAGATTCCAGTGCAACAGAAAACACGGCAGATTGCCGCCTGCGGCTTTCTTCGCAGTTGTCGGCTTCACCCACACCACGGAACAAAATCGGCTCGCATTTCAGGCCTTGAGCGGTGCAAACAATTCCCGACCGCGTGCAAACCTCTCAGCTACAACAAGCAGCAGTGCAGCATCAGACAAGCCAATACTAGCACGTTAGACAGAAGAGCCAGGGGGGGGGGGACAACACGGAGCAAGCATTGCCCGTTCTGCCCGCTGGCCTGTCCTGCCTGCGGGTGAGCAAAAGCCGATGAATCGGGACAGTTGCCAAATCAGGAGACTTATAAGAGTCGGATAAAACCAGTAACACCGACAACAGTGCCTCACTCTACCGGGGAGGTTCGAGTGTTCTCCGCCTATCCTCGCAACGCTGCAATCTAAGTACGTATGCCACGCGGAATCACGGCTGATGCCCATCAGCGGCCACCGATGAACATCTGATGGCGGTGTCGACCACGGTGTCAAAGATCAGGGCGATAGACCCACCCCCGCTCCGATCAGACGACACCCGCAAGGTGCCTTGGCGTAACCACGCCAACACAGGAAGCGGCCGCAGAAGGAGAACACTAAAACAAATTCCCCAAACAAAATCATCACCATTCCCGAAGCCGATGGATTAAGAGAGAGCGGTCAGAACGCAAACGCTACTAATTACTACCCGCTTTCTCGACGTGCGCGGCAAAAACTCCGTGCAGACGGAGGTGACACAAACGCTACCAGTGCAGGCTTCTCGTCTCCACAGAGGCTGAAAATCCCTTCACACGTAGATGAAGGACAAGGTTGCTGCCCGCGTGAGACACCGAAAACATCTGACCCTTTCCGATGCTCTTTGAGCAACCATACAACATTAGATTTGTGAGGCGCGGCAGCCTGTCAACTGGGTCAAGACAGAGGACACAAGAAAATCGCGGTAAATGCAAATCGACGGAAACCCCACTTTTGGCTGGTACCGAACCGTGTACCAACAGAGTCGCTGTTCGTGCTGTGTTCTCGTATCACAAACCGTTCCGGTCTTTGCAAATTACGTATAACTCGTGACATCCGTACCGGTCCAACTGGCGCGGAGAGCTCTCATGGTCGCAGGTCAACTAGATAGTGCACGAGCAGTTTTTTTTTTTTTCTAAGCCATGGAACACCACACGCCATCCTTGGAGATGAGCAACTCCTTGAGGAAGGCGCGGTCGCGAGGAAGGCTCGGAGGAGTAACCGTAACCCTTGCCGAATGTTTTCGGTTCGATTCCCGTCAGCGTGCAGAGGAGAGACACGTGGTCGAGTCGATCCACCCACCCGCGAAAGCTATGGGCCAAAACGTCATGGTGTTGTTTCAGAAAGGGAGACACAATGTCAGCGGAGACCCACGACAAGCGCCTTGTCGACCTACCAAGAACAAACCGAAAAGAAACATTACAAGCCCAACAGTCCAACGAGAGACAGCAACCCATCCACGCAAAAGCAACACAAAATTCTCAACAAAGAGCCACGCGTTCACATCACACGGGTGAGCAGCAGCATGTCCACCAAGCTTTCCTGACACCCTGACACAAGAGCCGTTGGTTGTTTAGGCGGCGAGCTTGTCCAATCTAGCCTGCTCCTGGGCAGCGAGCTTGTCCTCCAGCTTCTGCAGGAGGTCCGCACGGTACTCATCGAACTCGCCTGGCCAATCACGTTAAAAGGTCGAGCCTATTGAGTCCAACATCATGATACTAGTTTCAGTTTGGCTCTTGAAGGAAAGGTGCACTGCTGTTTGTTATTGTTGAGCATGCTCCCGAGGAGCGTCGTCTTCGCACCGTTCCGCACACCGTTCCGTATACTGTTCCGCGGTCGCACCTTGCCACGGGGTGACCTCTTGTTCGTCGACAATCCACAGCCGGCATTCCGTAGCCTCGATAAGCCGCGCGTCGTGGGTAACCACCACCACACCGCCATTGAACTGGCCCATAAGGAATCACGTGACAGCACGGCAGGGATAACGTCAAGGAGCGGTTGTGAGCAACGGAACACCACACAGAAATAATATATATGAATCTCTCACAAACAAATCACCCCCCCCCCGTGACGTAAGTGGGTTGGCGCTGTTGGCAAAGCGCTGCAAAACACGCCACCCCAAATATAGCCCCCATGCATAGTATGCGCTACCAAAGACGCGTGACGCATGGATGCGTGGAGTGAGGATTGCTTACGGAAACCTCACAGGTTGAGTGATGTACGAGATTGCCGGACGCATAGACGTGTTGAGTGATTATAGCTGTGTACTGAAACCCCAAGGGTTGAGTGAGGTTTGAGATTGCCAGACACATGGACGGGTTGAGTGGGGATAGCTGCATACTGAAACCTCACAGGTGATTTGTGATGGAGATTGCCGGACACATAGACGTGTTGAGTGGGGATAGCTGCATACTGAAACCTCACAGATAAATTGTTTTTTTAGTTTGCCAGACACATAGACGCTTTGAGTGGGGATAGCTACATACTGAAACCTCACGAGTTGAGTGATGTTGGATAGTGCCGGACACATAAACGCTTTGAGTGAGGAAAGACACATACCGGAACCTCACAGGTGATTTGTATTGGAGATTGCCGGACACCCAGACGCGTTGAGTGAAGATACCTGCATACTGACACCTCAAAGATGGATTGGTTGTTGAGTTTGCCAGACACAGTCTAGACGCGCTGCGTGGGGATAGCTACATACTGAAACCTCACGAGTTGAGTGATGTTGGATAGTGCCGGACACATAAACGCTTTGAGTGAGGAAAGACACATACCGGAACCTCACAGGTGATTTGTATTGGAGATTGCCGGACACCCAGACGCGTTGAGTGAAGATACCTGCATACTGACACCTCAAAGATGGATTGGTTGTTGAGTTTGCCAGACACAGTCTAGACGCGCTGCGTGGGGATAGCTACATACTGAAACCTCACGAGTTGAGTGATGTTGGATAGTGCCGGACACATAAACGCTTTGAGTGAGGAAAGACACATACCGGAACCTCACAGGTGATTTGTATTGGAGATTGCCGGACACATAGACGTGTTGAGTGAGGATAGCTGCATACTGAAACCTCACAGATGGATTGGTTTTTGAGTTTGCCAGACACATAGACGCGCTGCGTGGGGATAGCTACATACTGAAACCTCACGAGTTGAGTGATGTTGGAGATTGCCGGATACATAGACGCTTTGAGTGAGGAAATACACATACTGAAACCTCACAGGTGATTTGTGTCGGAGATTGCCGGACACCTAGACGTGTTGAGTGAGGATAGCTGCATACTG